TAACAACATTATTATCGTTTTCATAAATGCAATCATATTAAACATACTGTTCTGAAACTTGCTTTTATTTCACATGATACCAGGGACCTCTTTCTGTGTGTGTGAGCATGCATGTGTGTGTGCATGTATTTTATTGGTTTTGTACAACTTGTATACCAGTGTTTGGTCTCTTGGGGTTCCGAGCCCCTTTGGGTGTTTGATGAATGACAACTGCACACAAGCACGTCACACAGATATTCGGATATAACTTTGGATGTCAGAGCCCTCCTGAGCTGATCTACTGACCCCTTTACCCTGTGCATGGGAGCCGGGAGGTTGGGATCTCCAGAATGGGTCCAGGAGAGTGGGAAGAACTGAGATGACTTTTCTAGTGTTGGGAGGGGACAATCCATCCCTCGAGAGCCTCAGTTAAAGGGGTCCTGAGTCACTGCCTCCACTGTGAGATCCTCTGCCCTCTCTCAAGCACCCACCAGGGGCTCCTCCTCAGGCTGGGGGCTCCTCTCCTAGCATCCTCGTCAAGGTCACCTGACTCCAACAGCTGCCAAAGCCCAGGGCAACGCCAAGAGCCTCCTGGCCTCAAACGGGTTGGGCGACATTCAATTCCAGGCACTGTCCTCCCGACCTGCTCAGTCATTAGGAACTTCCTCAGTGGCCCTCGTACTGACAGCAGCCAGAGGAGATACTGCTGCCTGCCCCAACACCTTGGGTGGCTCCCATCTGTTCTGCCACGGCCCTGGGTGGAGAGGTGGATGCTGCTCTCTCTCGTCCCAGCCCAAGTGAGTCCGGGGAACCGGCAGTGGGAGGGAGACATGGGATTCAGATGGGGATGCCAGTCACATCTCGGCAAGATGCTGAACTGAAACTCAAGTGATGCAGGGGTGTGTGAGTGCTTGTGTGCATGAATGTAAGTCTGTGAGAGTGTGTGAGTTTAAGTCTGAGTATGTATGTGAGTGTTTGTGTAAGTCTGTGGGTGTGTGTCTGTGTGTCTGTAAGTCTCTGTGTGTACGTCTATGTGTGTGAATATGTGTGTGTGCGTGTGCATGCATATGTGGTCTCTGGGTGGAGAAGTAGTGGTAGACAGGGCTGAAACTATAGGGCCTTGCATATTGGGGCTCCAGGAGGGAAGCTGGGTGCCTGGTGTGTCACTCTGTCCAAGCCCACAGTCCCAGGGTGAGGGGACTTTCCTTGGGCTGATGACTTGTTCTGTTCCACCAGCTCTCACGATGGGCTGCTGCTGTGGGCAAGGCTGGGCGCTGGGGCTTCATGAGGTCCACTCCCCTTGGCCCAGCCCTGGTCTTCCCCTGCCTCACAGGTACCCAGAGAGGCAGCCCTATTTAGGGTCACGCTGAAGGGAGGTTTGGGTGGTCATTTTCCCACCTGTGCTTCTTTATCCACTCCTTTCTTTGACCAAGGTCTGGAATGCACATCTAGCATGGAGGCGCATTAAGCCCTCCTTAGAGATGGTGGTGGATAGCACGGGCTGTGCACTCAGGCTGGCCTGGGTTCGAATCCTGATTCTGCCCCATCCTAGCAGTGTGACTTTGAACAAGTTACTTAATTTAAGCCCTGAGCCTCAGTTCCCTAAATGAGGAAGGGATGCAAAATGCCAAGTACATAATTAGTGTTCAATAAATGGTCGCTGTTGTCATTACTTATTATTAGCTCGAATGGCCCCATCTCAGCTATGAAGACTGCCCAGCCCTCTCCCAGTCTCCTAAAGCACCAAAGGATGCCTTTTGGCGTATAATGCATGGGTCATTACTTAACTATCTTATGCCCAAACTAGAAGATGTTCCTCGTATTTCTTTTGCTACGTTCTCCCTGCCCCAGCACCCAAGACAGAGCCCAGCCCACAGGAGGGACTCAAGGATGGGGAATGGAATGGAAATAATGAGAAAGGGAGGGACTCACGGAAGGAGGGGTCAGGGAAAAACTGGAGAAAGAGAGGTGAGAGGAGGTGAGGAGCGAGGGTGGCATTGTCCAAGCGTGAGCAGCATGCCTCCCCTGAAGCACAGAAGGAGAAAGAATTGCCCACACGGGCCAGCAGTGGGGACTGGGATGTCTTTGCACTCCCTGGATTGTTTTTGCTTTTCCTCAAATCCAGATGAGGGGTAGGGGGCTCTCCTCCTCCTCCCCCGCACCTCCCCAGGAAGATACTACTTCCTGACAGGGCTAATACCTGCCCACTGAATCTATCAAACAATTCTAATAATGCTCCTCTTATCTATGGAATCTTTTCTCTCTCTGCCATTCTCTCTCCATCACCTTCCTGAGTGGCCTCAGGCAAGTCACTTCCTCCTCTCGGGACCCGGGTCTGCTAGTCGATAAAGCTAGGAGGTTTAAATAAATGATTTCTAAAATCCTTTCTTCCCCCAAACCAGTTGCCATTGAATCTATCCCAACTCATGGCAAGCCCATGAGTGTCAGAGTAGAACTGTGCTCCATAGGGTTTCCAATGACTGATTTTCAAGAGTAGATCACCAGGCTTTTCTTCTATGATACCTTTAAGCGGACTTAAACCTCCAAACTTTCGGTTAGCAGTTGGGCGTGTTAACTGTTGGCACGACTCAGGGACTTCCTTCCTCCTTTAGTATTTGCTCATCTATCCTCTGTTACTCTCTTGCCTATCTTGATAACAATTTCTCAGTTACCCAAACAACATAAGCTACTGATCACTATTCCTCTTTTTAAAATTTCTTTTCAAATAAATCTTTTTCTAGAAAAGAAAACTTACAAATGTCCATTAGGCTCTTGAGTTTCATGAAGGGCTTTCTTGATCACTGTTTATCCCCAATCCCTAGCTTAGTACCTAGCACGTAACAGGTGCTCAATAAATATTTGTTGAATAATTGGATGGATGGATGGATGAAATTGCCACCATACAATTGAGCTGTTGGGATTTATGGAATGCAGGGGAACTTGTTAGCAGTTAGCTGGCCTAAGAAATTCGTGGTCAGCTTGACAATGGCCCCTTTTTAGTTTAGACCTTGGCAAGTGTGTTATGAAATGAAAGCTACTGAGAAACACTGGTGTCACCATCTTAATTTTTATCCACTGCCCAGCCCTTACCTAATCTACTGTCATCTTGTTCACTTATTCCATAAAGACAGGTGAGCTGTCTCTATGTCAGAGGTGTGTGACTTTAGTCATCCACATAATAAGGAGCATCTGGAGGTGACAGGGGAGGGAGGGAGGGCAGATGCCTCCAGAGCCATAACAGGGGTCTCCAAGTCCCTTTGGAAGAGAAGGTGAGGCCTCGGCCTGCCTTAACAAGGACACCTAGCATTTACTGAGCACTTATGGTGTGCCAGACTCTTCACTTGCATTAATTTAATACCCCCAACAAGGGTATTAGAGGAAGGCATCACTATTATTATCAACCCCATCTTACTGATGGGAAGCTAAGGTTCAGAGGGGTTAAACAACTTGCCCAAAGTTGTACAGATAGTAATGGATAGATCAAGGATTTGAACACAGGACTCAGGTTCCAGAGTCTGAGCTCTCAATCCCCACATATTGGACCAGCCTAGGGGGCACAGCAACCACCTCAGAGACCAAAGCTGGAAAACTCCTGTAAAGGTTTTGGAGTTGCCTCCAGGGTTCCAGATCCCCTGTCCCCACCTCTGCATATTTTTGCACTTTCTCAGTTATGGGACATTTTCAACTCGGCAAAACGGATTTGGAATCAAGCCAAGTGAGGGGAGAGCTTCCAAAAGATTTGTGATCTCTGTAGTATGTCTTTCTTCATTAATTGATCTCATTCCCATTATTACATCGTTTCTTAGGTCTGGGGCTTCCACACAGTCTATTTTGTCGGAGTGTCCAGGGGTCTTTTGTCCACGTTACTGATGCTTCCACCGTTCCTTCTAAAGAAGCTGTTCTAGGTAAGTGTAGGCTACACAGTTGTGATACCGGGGATTTTAAATGAAGACACTGGAACCTCACCACATATCTAAATAGGTGTTTCCCTTCAAAGTCATCTTGGGAAGCCATGTACTTAATCCAACAATTCTGCCATAGATGAAAACATCTCTGGGATCTCAGATAATGTTTACCTTGTTACTTTATAGTGACATTACCTCTTTGACCTAAAACAGTATGGTGCCTCTTGATCACTCTTTTACTTTCTCACCAGACTTGGCTTCTGGTGACCGTTGGCCATTTCTGAAATACCAGACACATCCTCGAAGGATGAAAAGCTGCCTTCGCTGAGGTTAGGTTCTCCCCCTGGCTCAGGTGGCCCTTTCCAAAGAATTTGAAGAATGACTGAGCTGTGGTGGGTGGAGGAATAAGCCTATAGCTCCCTGGCATGACTATGTGGAGGGCCAGCAGGCATTTGGATGTGCAAGTTCTGAGTTTTATTTTTAAAGCAGTCACTGCTTTACAGCCACACTTAGCACAGAGTAATGTAATCCAATGACTAGGGACCTTCAGCCAACACCAGTTGAGCGGGGAGGTTGAGGAGTAGCAGAGGCTTTTCTGGAAAACAGCCACTCTGGATGTAAGCAAAATTGGGGATTGGGCTGAGGCTAGGAATGCATGTTCAGGATGCATGTTCTTAGTCACCTGCTTCCCCTGGGAACTAGGTCCTCCTGCCTTAACTTCCTGTGTTGATCAGGAAGAAGCGAGGCGGTGACCTCACCATCTTTACATGTCACAGTTCATGTGAGGCTACACCTTCATCACACTCCACACACCTCCCTCCCTCCAACGTGACTGGGATCTCTCTATCCCTCCTTCCAGAAGCCCCCCTCATCTCCTCCTAAGGGTCTTAGGCTCCTCCCTTGGTTTGATTCTGGTACGCCACTGAGGAGGCACAGTTGAAAGGGAAACAGTAGGAGGAAAAGAAAGAGGAGGGACAAGGAGGAGAAGACAAAAAAAAAGACATTGGAGGCAGTGGTGTGTGGGAGCTAGGAAGAGGGAGGGAAGGAGGACAATAGGCACTGATGCTCACAGCCCCTCCTTCCCACAGCTAAGGGCCCTGCCCTCTCACAGTGGCCATGTCAGAAGGGGAGACCAAAGACAGCTCCAGCAGCGAGTGCCCCGTGTGCTATGAGAAGTTCCGGGATCTGGAGGGTGCCAGCCGGACACTGAGCTGTGGCCATGTATTCTGCCATGACTGCCTCGTGAAGTACCTGCTTTCCACCCGAGTGGATGGACAGGTCCAGAGGACCATCGTATGCCCCATCTGCCGCTACGTCACCTTCCTCAGCAAGAAGAGCTCCCGCTGGCCCTCCATCCTGGAAAAGAGCCCCCAGACCCTGGCTGTGCCCGTAGGCCTGCCCTCTGTGCCACTACCAGACACTCTGGGCCACACAAATCCCCTGGCCATCTCCCAGCCTGTCTGGAGACCATCTATGGGCCAAGCGAGGCTGCCAGGCAGCCCAACTCAGAACTACCAGCTCCCCTTGGACCTGCTGCCCAGCCTGCCCCGGGAGCCCCAGATCTTCATCATCAGTCGCCACGGGATGCCCCTGGGGGAGCAGGACAGTGTCCTGCCGCGGCGCAGCCTGGCAGAGCTTTCGGAGGCCTCTCCTGCACCCAGGTCAACCCGGTCGTTCTGCTGCCGGTCGCGGGCCCTGCTACTCATCACCCTCGTTGCCGTGGTGGCTGTGGTGGCCGCCATCTTGCCCTGGGTCCTGCTGGTGAGGAAGCAGGCATGAGTGATGGCACCTGAAAGGGCAGCTGCGAGCTACTTCTGGAGTTGCCCTGCTCCACACAGCAGGGCTGACCATGCCTTGGAACGGGGTAGAGGCCCCCGTACAGACCCAGTCCAACCAAGCTCTGTGGGGTGGGCGGGCAGAGGGAGGACCTGGAGCAGAGAAGGGCAGTTGGAGTGGTGCTGGGTTGGAAGCATCGTGGCATTCTCTCCACCTCCAGCTCCTCATTCCCAGCAGGGGTCTTAGGCAAGACTGGGGGCTGGGGGCTGATGATCTCTAAGGCTAGAGCTGAGACCAGAAGCTGAGCCCTGGGCTGAAATGAAAACCTCAAGTCCTGGCCAAGGTGAAAATGTGCAGATAAACACCACGCCCCCACTCCAAAAAAAAAACAAAAACAAAAACTCACAGCTGTGGCCCCCTGAGTATCCTCAGTAGATACTTCTCCGTTCCTCCAGACTGGACCTGAGCAGAGTGGGAAGATAGGTGGTTCCTACCTTCCTGTGAGGTCACCAGCCCTGAGGTGAAGTACTTACCTGCCAGGTGACCTCCTGGAATCCAGGTGAGCCTCCCTGGGGATTAGGAAGCTCTGCTCAAATATGTCCTGCTGGATAGGGCCCAATGGCAACTCTCCTCCAGGCCACAATTCCCACCCAGAATTCTGTAGCTTGCTCTCAGGAACAAACAGAAGGGGTGGCACAGGGGCCGAAAGCACACTGTTTCTCAGCAACCATCCACAACCCTCCTGGCTGGGCTCTCCTTCCCACCTCCAAGTCCTTCTCCCAGCCTCCAAACAACTGACCTGGAAGGTCTTCCCTGAAGGAGAAGCTGGCCTCAGATAGAGGCTATGGCCCAGGATTTCTGGGGGAAGTAACAGAAAAGGGTCTTCCTGGGAGCTAAGGCCACATCAGGAAACAGATGTGTTGATTTAGGCTGAGGTCAGCTCATCGGCCCACAATTGAAGTCAGAGGTCTCCCAAGGCCCCTGGGCCAAGGAGTGGTCCCAATTTCGAATCTTGGGGTTCTCGAGGGTGAACTGGAAGGCAGGGAGTGGAGGGGAACCCTGAGAGCTGACACTTGAGTCAGCAGAGAACTATGTCGATAAATTAATCCCTGGTGTCTCCCACTTTCCTCCCAGCCCAAGTCCTCCTCCTCATGACCCAGTCACTCATTAGAGCCCACACCAGCTGGGCCAGTTTCCGAGGTGGATTCCCAGGCTGGGCTGGGTAAGGAAGGGTGGGGAAGTAAAGAGATGTGCTTGTCAGGGACACTACTATCTCGGTGAATGCTGACCCAGGTGTTGCTGGCTGCTGGCCAAGGCCTGGTCACCTGGAGACCCCACCCTGGATTGTGTTGGGGGTGCTTGACGAAGACCACCAGGAAAGCCTCAGATTGGGGGTTGCCTGAGGAGCAAGTCATTCAGGAACAGCTATTTGCTGTTTATTGAGGCTTATAAGTCAACGCCGGAAGATTAAAAACAACAGAAAACTCCAGCTAGTCTCTCAACAGATGCTTGTTCACACTCCAGGTGTGCCAACAGCTGAGACCTCCACAACCTATAACTCTCTCTGCGAAGTCTGCTCTCTCTGGGGAAAGAAATTAGCACGCTGCCTCTTATCTAGTTCCCAAATGCCTGTGGTGGTGGTGTTAGTTGCCGTTGAATCAATTCTGACTCGACTCACGACAACCCCATGTGTGCCAGAGCAGAACTGTGCTCCAAAGGGTTTTCAAGGCCATGACCTTTTGGAAGCAGATGGCCAGGCCTGTCTTCCGAGGCACCTCCGGGTAAGTTTAAACCACCAACTTTCCTTTTGGCTAGTAGTCAAGAGCTTCACGGTTTGTGCCACCCAGGAATTCCTGCAGTGAAGGCCACTGGGGACCATTAGACAACGGTATCCCCCTACAGGAACGATGTGGGACATACTAACAAGCTGACATGGGCGTCTCTGTGCTCTTTTCAAGACTGAAAAAGAGCAGAGGCTGCTATTGGGGGGATATAGGTAGATTTCATGGGAAAAATCATTTATTATAGGAATAAAAAAATGTCAATTTTACAAAGACTCTAAATTAGTCTGTTTTAACCTCAGTCAAGCTGCCTTAAACCAAAAAAAATAAAACAAAACCTGCTGCCATCGAGTTGATTCCAACTCATAGTGACCCTATACGACAGAGTAGAAGTACCCGACAGGGTTTCCAAGGAGCAGCTGGTGGATTCGAACTGTCGACCTTTTGGTTAGCAGCGGAGATCTTGACCACGCGCCACCAGGGCTCCCTGCCTTAAACAGTGTCATGAATTTCTGGGGACCTGATTTTAGTCTTTCCAGATTTTGTTGTGTTTGCTGAAAGTTTACTTCAAAATACCGATAGTGTTTTCGTATTGTTCAGCGGTGACTTGTAGATGGCCCTTCTTTTATTTTCAAAGAATGTCAGAAGTTAATTTTTAAATAAAGGTATATATTTTCTCAAAGACTCCAGAGACTTTGCAATGAATGTGGGAAGCTCTTTGCTTGGACTTTTAAGATAGTTTATCTTAGATGAAAAAGATGGTTTAAAAATGAAAACAGAAATGGCTCTTAAGCATTTATTCAGTCACACTTGTGAAAGAAATGCAAATTAAAATTCTGCTGGCATAATGTTTTACACCTATTAGATTGTCAAATCCTGCTGGCAAGGCTGAGGGGAAGTACGTGAGTTGCTGGTGGGAATGTATATGGGTAAAACCCGCAGGAAAGGGAATTTGTAAATAGCTATCAAAACATTTACATTGACGCAGCAATTCCTATTCTAAAAATTTATCCTAGAAGGTATCCATTTAAAATTCATTTGGTACTTCCTTAAAAAGCTAGAAATAGAAGTACCATATGCTCCAGCAATCCTGCTCCTTGGAATATATCCTAGAGAATTAAGAGCCATCACACAAATAGATATATGCACCCTCATGTTCATTGCAGCACTGTTCACAATAGCAAAAAGATGGAAACAACCTAGGTGCCCATCAACAGACAAATGGATAAACAAATCATGGTATATCCACACAATGGAATACTACACAACAATAAAGAACAACGATGAAGCCATGAAACATAACATGGAGGAATCTGGAGGACATCATGATGAGTGAATTTAGTCAGTCACAGAAGGACAAATATTGTATAAGACCACTGGTATAAGAACTCAAGAAAAGGTTTAAACACAGAAGAAAATATTCTTTGATGGTTATGAGGGTGGGGAGAGAAGGTGAGGGTTACTCACTAACTAGATAGTAGACAAGAATTATCTTAGGTGAAGAAAAGGACAGCTCACACTACGGGGAAGTCAGCACTACTGGACTAAACCAGAGCTAAGAAGTTTCCTGAATATAATCAAAAACTTCAAGGGACAGAGTAGCAGGGGCTGGGGTCTGGGGACCTTGCTTTCAGGGGTCATCAAGGTCAACTGGCATAACAAAGTTTATTAAGAAACTGTTCTGCATCCTACTTTGGTGAGTGGCGTCTGAGGTCTTAAAAGCTTGCAAGCGGCCATCTAAGATGCATCAAATGGTCCCAACCATCTGGAGTAAAGGAGGATGAAGAACACCAAAGTCACAAGGAAAGAATTAGCCCAAGAGACAGAAAGGGCCACATAAACCAGAGACTTCATCAGCCTGAGACCAGAAGAACTAGATGGTGCCCAGCTAACACCAATGACTGTCTTGACAGGGAACACAACAGACAGTCCCTGATGGAGTGGGAAAGAGGTGGGGTGCAGAACTCAAATTCTAGTAAAAAGACCAGACTTAATGGTCTGACTGAGACTGGAGGAACCCCAGAGAGCACGGCCCCCGGACTCTCTGTCCACCCAGAACTAAAACAATTTCCGAGGCCAACTCTTCAGACAAAGATTGGACTGGACTGTGGAACATAAAATGATACTTGTGAAGAGTATGCTTCTTAGCTGAAGTAGATACATGAGACCAAATGGGCATCTTCTGTCCGGAGGTGAGATGAGAAGGCAGAGAGGGTTAAGAGCCAGTTGAATGGACATGGGGAGTCAGGGGTGGAAAAGAGGAGTGTGCTGTCACAGTATAGGCAGAGCAATTAGGGTCACATAACAATGTATGGATAAATTTTTGTATGAAGACTAACTTGAAATGTGAACTTTCACTTAAACTACAATAATAAAAAAAAAAAAAAAAGAAAGTATCTGTTTATTTATTTTAGAAAGTATCCCTATACACTTGCATCTATGGGCAGTAACATATGTACAATATTATGTAATTGCAGCAGTATTTGTAATAACAAATGATTGGACAAGGGAAAAGGCAAGATGTGGAACACTTGGTATCGGATGCTACAATTTGTGCAGAAAGGGGGAGAACAAGAATTTACATTCATGTTTGCTTATTTATACGTAAAGGAATCGGGAACACACACACACACACACACACATACACACAAAACAGTAACAATGATTAGCTGTGGAAGGAGATGAGGAAACAAGGGCACGAGAGGGAGCATTTTCACTTTACATTTTATAGTTTTTGATTTTTGAACCAAGTAAATGTATTACTTATTCAGAAATTAAATTGAAAAATCATCTTAGAAGCTAAAGACATCTTCAGTGCACACACCTGTTGCCTGGGGAGGAGACAGCCCCAGAAGCACTCAAGAGCTGCCAAACCACACAGCCTGTGGTTCAAGAGCTCAGCGACCAGCTCAGTGGAACTGGTTTGTTTGGTTAGAGGTATGACTTTATATACATAGCAGGCACCCCAAGGAGGCAGGTAGAAATTTTAATATTTTCAGTGTTCCTAAGTTCTTTTGGATTTCTTTGGACCCCACCATTTAAGGTGCTTGTTTTGATTCCTCCTTCTCTACCTTCCTTTTCTTTCTCAAATAAACTCTTTTGCTATAAGTAACCACCTTGGGGTCAGGGCACTACAGGAAGATGCCATTGAATAGATGCAAAGGTGGGAGGGTAGGTGGGTGGGTGGGTGGTGGATGAATGGATGGATGGGGTTAAACAAGAGCCTTGTTGCTCTTCTCTTCCATCCCTTGTCCAGAGCTTCTCTCTCACACACACACACCTCCCATCATTACAATAACCTTTAACTCTAATACACACACAGTCTGGGTCTACCAAGCAAAGGAACCCATAACATTGCTGGCTGGGCCCTGGGTCAGGGTTGCCCCTCAGAGATGTTTCCATGACCTCTGCCCTCACTGAACCCTTTGGATGATGTAGAGACCATTTCTGCTGCTATCTTCCATTCTTCCTTTGACCTCCTTATTAGTCCAAATGTCATTTAGGGGAGCATTAAATAAACAACCTTCCCTCATCTTCACAACCCTCCCCCTTGCCTTCATCCTCCACTTACCCAGTACAAACTGTTAACTCCATAATTAACTTCAGCCCAAACTACTTGCTGTTCCCCATGAGCAGTGCTGGTGTAGGCCTCTGGGCCTTTGCTTGTTCAGGTCCCTCTGCCTGGAACATACTTCTCCCTCTGGAAGCATGGAAAACTCCTACCTAGCTTTCCAGAAACAGTTCAAGGGTTACCAATGAAGACTGCCCCACAAACCTCCCTGCTCCCTCCCTCAGATCTCCCAGGTGCTTTATCCTTGGGTCTCTTCCTTCTAGACAACATGCTCCTTGAGGGAAGGCTAGATCTTCCTGATTCTCGTACCCCCAGTGCCTGACACAGAATTTAGTAAATAGTAAGAGCTCGATAAATATGTGTAGAATGAATGAATGAACAAATACACATGACAGTCTAGTGTCTTGAAAGAGGCTTAATGCAAGGGACTTTAGACATATACTAGCTTCAAAAAACAGTCAGTTTAAAGAACCTTTAAAAAATCCAGTTAGAGGAATACAGGGAAGAGAGAGAAAGGGGCAGCGTGACCAGCTGGTCAGAGGATTGTGAGGGGTGGAACCAAGATGCCCAACAGGCACTTGTTAGGATGAGCAGACTAGAACTAAGGCGCCAGTGATTTGCATGTGTGTACACTTTGTACCCCTATGGTCTTCACACTGTCTAAAGGGGTCAAGCTGTTTACCTGTGATGACTCAGTGTTGGATGGAAGGAGGGAGGGCAGGAGGGCTGAGAGCTCAGGGCAAAGGCAGAGATATGGGGAGGCTGAGGAAACAGAGTCTTTGTGGGGAGAGTGGAAGGAGATGGGGGAGAACTAAAGAAGAGGAGGGGAGTGGTAAGGAAACCAGTAAGGGCAGTAAGAGGAAACAGAAGGGGGTTAGACAATGAAGACCAGAAAGGGAGGGAAGGCGGAGCCTTCATGGGGTCCCTATGGCTTTCGGCATCTGAATCAAACTGTGCTCAGTGCCAGGGCCCATGGGCTTCCCTCTGCTCACCTCTCACCCCAGTCACAAGGACCTCCTTCTGGTTCCTAGAGAGTTTCTCCTGCTGCTTCACACCTCCACGTATTCCCTGGAGTTATTCTCACTGCCTCCTGGAGCTCATTTTAACATCTTCAGAACTCAGCTCACAGTGATCTCACCCCAGAAGACCTCCCTGACTCCGAAGCTCTCTTCTGTGACCCAGGCACAGCACAGTGCAGACGGTTCAGAGGCCACGTGTCCTGTGGGTGATAGTCTATCTCAGACGCTGAGCTTCCTGCCAGCAGAAACCTTGCCTTACTTCATTTCGTAGCTCCGATGTCTAATTCAGGGCTGGCCAGTCAAAGATGAGTGTGCCGAAGAGCTGCAGCAGAGGAATTCTCACTAAATTTTTGAATTATGAATAAAACCTGTGGCTATTTCCTTCACAGCACATTTAATAACTACTGTGAAAACACTGACTCTACTCTGGACCCTCAAGGATATGGCTTCTTACTCTTTGACTTGACCTAGTGGGTTCCTACAAATTTGATCATATAAAGAAGAGCAGTTACCAGAAGTGGCTGGGGAGCCAGCTTGCACAGGTTCAGCTCCTAATCTGTCATACACCAGCTTGTGTGACCTTGCATAAGGTCCTCTCACTTCTCTGCGGCTCGGTTTCCCCCTCTGTAAAATGGGGACAATAATCATACCCGTATCACTGCACTGCTTTGTGGATTAAAGGAGTTAATATATGTAAAGTGCATACAAGAGTGTCCCTAGCATTCAGGAAGCTCACTGCGTCTTATGTATTATTATGAAATGTGTGTCTTCGATCAGTATGACGCCTGTATTATTCACTCTAACAGAAATCAATCCTCTAGCTGGCGCGCGGCAGGACATGCTGGGGGAGTTCACCGAGCCCAGCAAGCTGCCTCAGAATCCATTCGCAGCAGAGCACACTTACTTCCCCTCCTTCCACCCGATCCGAAAAGCAATGAGAGCAGGCAGTAAAACTCAGGAAGCCTTCCTCCACAACCGGCTCCTTAGAAGTGTGGTCTCGGACCAGCACAGCTGGCATCACGTGGGACCTCGCTAGAAAGAAGGATTCAGACCTACTTCCGTGGAATGCGGGGCGGATCGGTGGCCCCAGATCTCCGAAGGCCGTCGCCGGCCGGACCGGAAGATCGGGCGGGGGCCCACGGCGGCGGCCTGCGCCCAGCCGGAGCTCGGTAAAAGACGCAGGGCAGAGAGTGATGTCAGGGTAACCCAGGTGATCGGTCAGCTGCAGTCTGGCGCCACCTGACGGCCAAAAGTAGGACCTGCCCTTTCTCGGCTAAGGAAGCGCCGGGGAGTGAAGGTCCACTGGGGCCTTACGCCCTCTCATCGCCCACCCGAGCACTCAAACGCTGAGCGGTCCCCGCCACTCGTCTGGGACAACCCTTTCCAGAGGCCTCAGCGGCAGAGCCCAGACCTCCGAAGGGAGACACCAGGCACCTGGAGGCGGGAGTTTTGGGATCCCTCACCGTTTCCCTCCAGCCACTAGGTGACATTACTCACCAATCAGTTTCCCAGTTTCCACTTAGCTTTCAAACTCCGCTCCCCTCTGACTACAAGAGATATTGGTCTCGCGAGATCTCTCGTAAACTTACAGAGCCGGAAGGAACTTATCAGTCTTTTCCCTTTTGCGGCCATCGCTGAAGCGGCAGCGGGTGAGGATTTGCTGGCAAAGCGCGTGTTATCCGCTGCCATCCATTCCCAGCTACGGTGACCCTCGCTCCCGGGGACTCCGAGACTTTCCCAGTGGCCGAATAGAAGCCAAATAGGGGGGCCAGGATGGCCTCGGCCCATTTTCCCAGTAGATCAGGAGCCATCGGGCTGGGGAGGGAAGGCAAGACCGGGAGTGTCGGGACTCAGAAACTGGAGAGGAGGGGGTCTGTCGAGATGGAGTCAAATCTCGGCAGTGTAGTTTCCGAAAGAATGGTCTTGAAATAACTTCTTGGTAAAGCATTCATGGAACTTCCAAACCGCGCTCGCCTGTTGGATGGTTTTTTGGACCCGAGAAAACTGTGCAGGATTTCCAGGTTCGGGGCGGAGAGGCTTGATTCATTCATTTTGGAGGGGACTAAATATGTACACACGAGTCCATAAGAGAGTAACGTTGATTGGTCCATTTAAAAGATGACTTTATATTTGAATAATTGAGTTGCCTGTCTACTGTGCCCTAATTCAGCAGGAATACTTAAAAGTCCGCTCTTAACTCTCACGCAGTACTCAAGGAGTTTTAAGAGTGTAAGCACAGTTTAATAACTAGAAAATGTGCAGTTAATGGAAAAATCTTTATCCTATAAACAAATAATAGAAAACATCCTAGTAAAGCAAACTTTTTTCAGTTTCAGGCTTTAGTTAATAGGCCATTAAGGTCAAGCAGTTTTTGATAGAATTAAAGAACATGACAGTCCGAGTATTCTACACTTTCAGGTTGAACTTGTTGCTTTTACTTGTTTGAAATTGAATGAGATTTTTGACGATTTGAAGGTTTATACATCTTTTCACTTTACTTAGCCAAAATGAAGTTCAATCCCTTTGTGACTTCTGACCGGAGCAAAAACCGCAAAAGACATTTCAATGCACCTTCGCACATTCGCAGGAAGATTATGTCTTCTCCTCTTTCCAAGGAACTGAGACAGAAATACAATGTTCGGTCCATGCCCATCCGAAAGGATGATGAAGTTCAGGTATGTACCCCAATGTGTTTCAGCTTGTTCATGCAGCTGAAGAGCCCTTTAAATCTTTAAGCCAATTTCTTGCTGAAAGAAGAGTTTTTAGAAAAGGGATTGCATCCTGAGACTGAAGTGTCTGAGACCTTTGCCCCCAGAACAGGATTGCAGGAGGAGTTGAGCCAGGGATGAAAAAAAGAAATAGGCTGCTTTTCAGTTCTTATTTCACCTTACCGCTTGGTGAAAATCAAATATTCCAAGCACCAGATGCAGCTATAATTAAATGAAAGAACAAGAAAGATGGCTCAGAATCAGAACATGACTTTTTGGATTATCCTTTGCGGGATCCATTCAGCCATTGGAGGACCGATAAACAGAATTGCTCAGAAACTCTTAAGTGAACCATAGTTTCATGTGATTGTTTAAGTTTATGGGTAAATACAACTGTCAGATCTATTTAAGTAAAAATTTCTATGCGTGTTTCTTAGCTGTAACCTGCAACTAGTGATTAAAGAATGTGGATAGTCTCCATAAAGTAGCTAGCATATCACCAATATTATTTTATAAGGAGCCCTGGTGGTACAGTGGTTAAGCGCTCGACTGCTAACTGAAAGATCGGCAGTTTGAACCCACCAGCTACTCCACAGGAGAAAGATGTGACAGTCTGCTTCTGTAAAAATTACAGCCTTGGAGATTTTACAGGGCAGTTCTACTCTGTCCTGTAGGGTGGCTATGAGTCAGAAACGACTCGACGATAATGGGTTTGGGGTTTTTTTAATGCCATTTAAATAAAACAAAACCATTTCCAGATAGGAGCAGTGTTGATAAACAGCCACTGGTCCGTGTCGTACTCTTGCTAAAATTGCCAGTAGATTTGGGAGGCAGTCTTCTCTGTTGTCAAGACATCTTATTGCAAAAAAAGTTGGAATACTGGAAAGAACCGTCTCATCAGAAGTGCTTTGGATTGCGTCCTGACAAACTGAAGACCACTAGGGCCCTTGGGTAGGAACCTGTGTTAGTTGATCTTAAGGAAAATTATTTGTTCCTTAAGTATTTGTTGCTACCCACTCTTTGACATGGGGTTGGACTCTAATGGATTGTGAATTAAATACTTGTAGTTTGTTCCTCGTTGTCAACTTACTACAAAGTTCAGAAGCCCAAGGTGGGCTCAGCTTTTAACCTTTTGTCACAAGCCCACTGCTGCTGGTGAACCATCAGTTGTAGGGATGCATTGCCCATCACTGTAGATTTAAGAGGGTGTGATTGATTTGCAGGTTTTTCTGATTGACAGAGTTAATCTTGTTCTTTTGTCCCGTCTCCATTATTTTTAAATTTGCACCCAGGTTGTACGAGGACACTACAAAGGTCAGCAAATTGGCAAAGTTGTCCAGGTTTACAGGAAGAAATATGTCATCTACATTGAACGGGTGCAACGAGATAAAGCTAATGGCACAACTGTCCATGTGGGCATTCACCCCAGCAAGGTAGGTGTTTTCGAAAATACTTGAAAGACAAGACGGAAATGATGGCAATTATTGTTGACAAATGTAATTTATGATCCCATAGGAATATTCTTGAATTAAGATGTGTTGGAAACTTTGTATTAAAGCAAATAACTGTATTTTCTCAATTCTGATAGTACCTTCAGGAACCCTGATGGCACAGCGGTTAAGCTGTTGGCTGTTAACTGAAAGTTCGGTGGTTTGAACCCATCCAGCAGGTCCACTGGAGAAAGACCCGGTGATACGCTCTTGTAAAGATCAAAGCAAACCTGTTGCTGTCGAATTGATTTCAACACGTAGAACTGCCCCATAGGGTTTCCAAAGCTGTAATTTTTATGGCTGCAAACTGCCACATCTTTCTCCTGTGGAGCAGCTGTTGGGTTTGAACTGCTGGCCTTTCGGTTTGCAGCTGAGCACTTAACCACTGAGCCACTGAGGCTCCTCTGTAAAGATTACAGCCTAGAAAACCTATTGCGACAGTTCTCTGTCACATGGGGTCGTTATGAGTATAAATCGACTTGACAGCACTTAACAATAGTGCCTTAGAGGGCATTGGTGATTCTGTGGTAGAATTCTTGCCTTCCGTGCGGAGACTAGGTTTGATTCCTAGCCAGTGCATCTCATGCGCAGCCACTACCCTTCTGTCATTGGAGGCTTCCATGTTGCTGAACAGGTTTCATCAGAGCTTCTAGACTAGGAAGAAAGGTCTGGTGATCTCCTTCAAAAATCAGCTAATTAAAACCCTGTGGATCACAGATGTCTGACTCCATTGTGCTTAGGTTCTCTGGGAGTTCAGCTGACTCAATGGCAGCTAATCACAAACTACCAAACCCATTGCCATAGAAATGATTCCAACTAATAGCAACCTATAGGACAGAGTAGAACTGCCCCATAGGGTTCCCAAGGCTGTAGTCTTTACGGAAGCAGCATCTTTCTACCACAGAGCGGCTGGTGGGTTCAAACTGCCAACCCCTTGGTTAGCAGTTGAGTGCTTAACCACTGTGCAACCAGGGCTCCTTAATAACAGTAATACTTCAAATGTTTCTGAAATCGAGGTATCTTTGACCATTTTTTCTGTATGTATGTTTAATGTACATTTCCCTCAAACAGTGTTACTAAACTGATCATCTAGCAATTGACGTGTCTTAAAATCTAGGGGAGGGGTATTTTAAGATGAAATAAAACCGATAGTCTGCTTTTGTGTATTCAACAGAATGAGTAAGTAGTAGTAGTAACTGACTTAAGAATAACTAGTATAATGAAATGGTAAATTGTGGCACAAATGGCAAAGTTGTCGTTCACACAGTGTTGACATTAAAGATGGTAGTCACCTATTCAGAGTACTCCACAACTGCAAGACGACATGGTCACTTGTAGAAAAATAGTTTTTCTAAAAGCTGGTTCATGTTGAATGCTACGCTGAGCCCCAGGCATTGTGGACCTGCCACCTCCTTTAATCTTTACAGCCGTGGGACGTATGGAGTAAGCCTTTTACAGATGGGAAAACTGACGCTCAGATACTAAAATCCCATAGATGGTGACAGTGTCCAAGATAGAAAATCTAGTCTGAGTCCCCCACAGCAGCAGGTGCCTCCCCTGGATTTTATGTGAATTCTCCCAAGTTTTAGTTGTTGGCGATTAAGTGGCCTCTTGAGTTGATAGCACTGTCTGATTTCTCTCTATATTTAAAAAACTTACATTTGGTGTAAATAATTTTTTTAATTATAAATAAATTTAACAATTTAGTGCAAATGAACTGGTCGAGGTCACCAATTTTCATCTCTTATTCTAACCTTATGACTTTAGATACCTACCAGCTAACAATTCCAACCCAGACTTCTTCCCCTGAACTCCAGGCTTGATATTCAATTGTCTGTTTTGTATTTCAACTTGGATATCTAATAGGTGTCTCAAACCTGATGCATTCCAGTTCCTGATTTTATCCTTGCAACTTCCTCACACAGTCTTCCACTGTCACAGTGTGTGGCAACTCTACCCTCCCAGTTGCTCCGGCCAAAAATGCCTTTTTTGGCTCCTTTTTATTTCACACCCACATCAGTCAGTAAGACCTGTTAACTCTAATGTCACATTGTATCCAGAAATTTGTCTGCTTACCATCACTGTCACCATCCAGATTCAAGCCATTCCTCTCACCTTAAACACAGCTGCCTTGTTTCCTTTTAAACAAAAATCAGATCATATTAGTCTTCTACTCAGAACATTCCAATGACTTCTTGTCAGTAAAATCCTGTGTTCTTAGAATGGCCTACAAGACCTCACATGATCTCCCCTCACCAGCCAGTTCTCTGACGTCATTTTACACCACTTTCCCCTCTCCATGCTCTGATCAAACCCATTGGGTCTGCCGTTCAGCAGCATCACCTGATAACTTGATAGAATTGCAAAGTCTTGGTTCCAAAACCTTCTAAAGCAGAATCTGGGAGTTTGTAACAAACTCTTCCAGTTCATTCCTGTACACACTCAAGTTGGAGAAACACACCTACAAAACTGTTCTGCCTCTGGACGTTTGTACTTTCTGGTTCTCCCTGGGACACTTACCCAGATAATTCACCCCTTTGAGTGTTTTTTTTTTTCAAATATAGTCTCATCAGTAGGGCCTTTCCTGATCACACTGTCTAAAATAACTCTTTTTTCCTCCAGCCCTCAGCCTCCCCACATGGCCATATTTTTCTCTGTATCACATCCCTGGGTGGCACAAATGGTTAAGCCCTTGACCGGTCAGAAGTAGCTCAGAAGAAAGGCCTGGCAGTCTGCTTCTGACGGTCACAGCCTTGAAAACCGTATGGAGCAGTTCTACTCTGCACACATGGGGTCACTCTGAGTTGGAATCTGACAGTAATCAACCACAACATACATTTCACTTAATTTTCTGTCTCCCCACGCTTGACTATAAGTTTCATGGCAGCAGAGTCTAGTAAACATTTAAGCCAAGTTTGATTTGAGGGCCAAAGAATCATTTCTAGTACTTTTGAATTAAATAATCATTCAGTGTCTAGCATCCACTATACCCCAATTTTTTAGAAATGGAATTGAATGTTGGGCCCATGTGTTCTGTATTAGTCATTGTTTAAAGCTTGGAAATGTGTTTTATTTTTCTGCAGGTGGTTATCACTAGGCTAAAACTGGACAAAGACCGCAAAAAAATCCTTGAACGTAAAGCCAAATCTCGCCAAGTGGGAAAGGAAAAGGGCAAATATAAGGAAGAAACAATTGAGAAGATGCAGGAGTGAAATAATCTTATATACAGTTTCCATTAAAAACTGCAAAAACGAAGCGCCTTTTTGTTACGTGTGGTGCTTTGGAACAGTATCTAGTTATTGTTGGTTCCATCTCTTCCCTCTTTGGATTTGGAAACGGAAGTTTGGGAAACATTTGCTGTTTGGAGGCTGGCAGCCCCTATCCTGTTGGCTTGAGTCAACAAATGAAAAATATTGTTTTAAGTATCAGGACTGGTGGGACAGTGATTTTTTTTTTTTTTTTTAACTGTTAAATTTAAAGTTTGGTATTGTGGCCCTTGACTAGGTGATCCCTAAACACTTGACTGGACCAGAATGGGTTTTTTAAATACCTGCCAACAGAAACCTTACCGACCCCTTCCTGCATTCTTCCTTGTCACCTTTTAGAGTAACAAGTCATGCTTAGGGTGGAGTGATTAAGGGAGCTGCTGTGACGGTCCAGTGTCAATTGGACCACTGTTTTAAGTTATTCCTGGTATACAGTGAGAAGCCCTTTGTTCTCTCAGCCCCCTTTACCGTCTTGATAACATGCCTTGGTGTTGGGTGAGTGCCATTTAGACCACAACTTAACTCCAGGTTGCAATCGGAAATGCTAGTTGTGTCATTTGACCAGTTAAGAGGATTGAGTAAAACGGTGTGAAGTTTTAATCACCTGTCCACCCGTTTACCTCGCTTCAACAGGCAGGGTGAGTGGTAAGTGATGATAGGACTTTGCAACAATGTGGGGAAAGGTGTCCAATTTTACCGTCTAAGGCCTGAGTTAAGTGACTTGTTTAGCCAAGGCCACACGTGTGTGCTGGACTCGGCTCAGTGAGAGCCCTCAAAACGCAGTGGACACCTGGCAGCACTAAACGCCGTTTGAAAGGTTTCTTCCCTCCCGCGGTAGCCGTGGGCGGCCCCACAGGAGGGGCGGGGCTTCCGGCCGGGCGGGGCCCAGCTTCCGGCAGAGCCTGACGGGTCCTTTTGCGTGGTCCGTGCGGCGCGGGATGGCTGGCAGCGGGCGAGTGGGTGGAGGGATGCCCGGACCCTGTGGCCCTTGTCACATCGTTAGCACTTTCAGGGCCCCTCCACTGTTTCTTCTCGATCACCGGGATCGGTGGTCCGCGCCACACCCACCTTCGCCTGCGGCCGGCTCATTCTCCCCAGCGCGCCGCTCTCGGAGGGTGGAGGCGACTTTTAGCCCGGTGTTGGCGTGGGCTTATGGGGGATGGGACCAGGTGCCGTGGGAGCCGATTCTGCGGAAGTCGGGGTAGGAAATCTTCAAAGGAACTGATGCACAAAGCAGGTGTTCAGGAATAAGTGCGAGTTTCTGTGTTGTGGAAGGTGCAGGAAGTGAACACTATTGGGTACTTTATCTGCAGTTTCATTTAATCTACACAACAACCCATTGGGATGTATACTAGTATTCTCCCCATTTTATAGATGATGGAACTGAAGACTTAAAACAGTTAAGTAATTTGCCTAAGTTAGCCATACACGACATGGTAGAGTCAGAAATTGAAGTCCCAAGCCTAGACTTTTTTCAGACCTCCGTGCTGCCTCGCTAATATAATATACCTGGTGGTGCAGTGGTTAAGAGCTCAGCTGCTAACGAAAAGGTCGGCGGCTGGAATCCACCAGCGCTCCTGGGAAACCCTGTGGGGCAGTTCTACTCTGTCCTGTAGGGTTGCTATGAGTCGGAATCAACTCCACGGCAACGGGTTTGGGTTTTTGGGGTTTTTTTTTTTTTTTTTTTTGGTTTAAGCAAAGTGACAAATGCCCTTTGAGCATCTTCTGTGCTCAGCTCTGTACTCTGGAAGTCCTTCAAGGGGATATAGCTAGGTAGAAGTCTTAGCCGTTACTTTTTAGGGAATGAAGATTTATACCTACCTGAATCAGCCAACTAAAAATTTCAAGCAAAGTGGTCAAGTGTGCGTGCAGGTAGTATGTTTTATGGAAGTTCAGAGCGGGGAGAGATGGCAGGCGGCTGGAGCTGCTGAACACATCAGGAAGGGGACCAATTTAAACTGAATGAGATTTGGAAGATTGATGGAAGGACATTCCAGATAGGGAAAAGCCAAGGTAAAGGCTCCCAGATGGGTGAGGAAGAGAGGAAATCTGGCTTTGGAGATGTCTCCCAGTTTTCTCCAACCGAGCTCATCTATCATTCACCCCAGCAGTGCAGATCATACCAGGAAGCTAATTGGCTTAGGGCCACATACTTTCATATGTTTTAGAATAGATGTTGAAAACTCAGATCTCTACAGGGATGGGCAGGTAAGGAGAATGAAGACCTGGAAGAGAGCGGGCTGCATTGTAACAGGAGTTGCTGCCTCTCCACTCTGCCCACTTGTTGCCAGGCAGGAATGCTCCCAGTGTGGCCAGAGCTTCCCATTTTTCAAGAGAGGCCAAAAATCTAGATTTTTATGTAAAATCTCCAGATCTGTAAATGTTGGTAAATCATTCAAATTAAAATAAACAGAAACAGTGGACCAAACAAAAGAGGTCTGTTTGCCGAATGTGGCTTGGCTTTAGATTGTCAGGATATCATAAGGACCATATCTCATATTAAAAAGATTGAGATTTTGCATCTCTTGAGTATACCTTTTTTCTAGCCTGTCTTCCATTTGTTTATAGGATGGAGATGTGGCTTTTCCTTCCTGTGCAGTCACCTGAAGGACCTCAAATAGCAGCCAGTACAGCCACTCAGTCTCTGAGAGATGCTGGTTTCAGCCAGGAATCTGGAAGGTGCTGTTCCCAGATCCCATTGAATACCTTGTAATTTCAGGTGTCTTCTGAGGATCACTAGGACTGTGGGATGATAGTAGGTATTTTTTGGGAAACAAAGTCCTCTGTCAAAATGATGGAAAGATACTGCATGAAATAAACTTAGTTTCTTTGCTGCAGGGCCTTTAAAATGTCAGTTTGCACTGAGGATCTTGAACCCAGGTTTAAAATAAAAAGCATTTTGCAAACATACTCTTGCTTCAACTCTGAAATGCATTTTTTTCCCACATTTTAAACTTTAAATGTGTTCAATATATTCATCTCAATATATTCATTTAATGTAGATTCTGTGTTTTTCCTCAGAAAAGAAAGTTGTCATAAAAATCAATGATTTTGCAATCAATAGTATCTTAGAATCAAGAATATTCCATGGTCTTAAAACCCTGTCAGCCATCAGCCTGAGACCAGAAGAACTAGATGGTGCCCGGCTACCACCAATGACCACCCTGACAGAGAACACAACAGAGAGTCCCTGATGAAGCAGGAGAAAAGTGGGGTGCAGAACTCAAATTCTAGTAAGAAGACCAGACTTAATGGTTTGATTGAGACTGGAGGGACCCTGGAAGACATGGCCCCCAGACTCTCTGTTAGCCCAAAACTAAAACCATTCCCGAGGCCAACTCTTCAGACAAAGATTAGACAGACCCATAGGACAAAACAAGACTAAAGGGACACCCCAGCCCGGGGGCAAGGACTAGAAAGCAGGAGGGGATAGAAAGCTGGTAATAGGGAACTGAAGGTCAAGAAGGGAGAGTACTGACATGTCATGGGGTTGTTAACCAATGTCCTAAAACAATATGTGTACTAACTGTTTAGTAAGAAGGTAGTTTGTTCTGTAAACCTTCATCTAAAATACAATTTTTAAAAAATGTAAAAAAAAAAAAAGAATATTCCATGACTAACTAGTTATGCTGAGCAAGGGAATTTGAAGCGTTTTTAGTGGAAGACCTTCAGGACCTGAAAGCAGGTCCAGCTTAACTAAGACTCTTGCTCACAGCTTTGAAATTTTTCCATCTTTTTCTGCTGCTCAGAATTCTTCCCTGCCCCTCAGCTCTGCATCTGATGACTGGGACCCTGGGGATCTTCTTAAGATTCATATGAAGTTTTCCCAGGGCCTCATCACCATCCTGAAGTTGTTCTAAGGAATTCCTGTTTAGATACTATCTTGGTGGAGCGTGGACTCCATTTAGAGTTTCTCTTTTTGGTGTGCTAATCTCCAGACATATCTCTTTTTAGATCCTGCGGCCTCTATTGGGAGCCCTGAAGCCTGTACCTAAAAGTGTCTCCCAGCACTTGGAGTGCTCAAGTACACTTGAACTCTGCTTCATTCTAGAAATAGGTGGGCTCCGGCCCAGTCAGTGTCAAAGTGGGCTAGGCCTACAAACCTCCCAGGAAGGCAAAACCTCTTCACCCATGAAGCTGGCCTCATCTTGTTGGGTAGAAGACCCCTCAGTACCACAATCAAATTTAGTCATTTTTGCTGATATACCTTCATTTCTGGAACCCTCCTCTATTTCCTCCCCAGTCCTGCTGAAGCTGCTCCTTAGCCCCGGACCGGAGACAAAATGATCCATGTGGCAACGGACAGTGTTGTTTCAGGAGGCCAGGACATTTGAGAATGTGACCCAAGATAGAAATATTTGAAAGCCTCTCAGAAGGACTGCTACAGGGACAAAAGGCTGGACAGTTATGAGAACATGGTCCCACAGTGTAAGGACTCCAGATCTACATGTATTAATCCTGTGTACAATCATGAGGCAAAAGCTATCATTTAAAAATACCCCAGCCACTTTCTTCTTAATTCCCCTAAAGAGAAGACTGACACTTCAGTCACAAGAAATTGTTTATGTTGATGTGGAAAAGCTGAAAAAACACTCCCTGGTGCTTACATTGGAAACCCTGGTGGCAGATGGTTAAGTGCTACAGCTGCTAACCAAAAGGCTGGCAGCTCAAATCCACCAGGCGCTCCTTGGAAACTCTATGGGGCAGTTCTAGGGTTGCTATGAGTCAAAATCAACTTGACGGCAATAGGTTTAGTTTTGGTTCGGTGCTTACTTCAGGCCTCTGGGTGCTGCAAACGGTTTGCCTTCGGCTACTAACCTAAAGGTTAGTGGTTCAAACCCACCCAGCAACACCATGGAAGAAAGGCCTGGCGATCTGTTTCCATAAAGATTACTGCCAAGAAAACCCCATGGAGCAGTTCTACTCTATAACACATGGGGTCATCATGAGTCGGAATCAACTCAACAGCAATGATTTTTTTTGGTTGGTGCTCACAAATTAAGAGTTTACTATTATTATGTGGCATCTTCTAGCAAAATTCTCCCATTTATTTTAAAGGATACTGAGGGTAGAATATCAGCCTTAGGGATTTCCATTTATCCTCCCTCTTATTTTAATTAAAGACCTGTTAATTAGATGTCACTGTATGAGCTAATGGTTTTCTTATTTATTCTGTTTGCCTAAAGTCTACAATTACCACATATTTGTGATCCTACTGATTTTCTTCAAATTCTGTTGGCATGCTCTGGTTTTGAATTGTCCTAGAGCCCTGGTGGTGCAGTGATTAAGCACTTGGCAGTTAGAACCTATGAGATGTGGCAGTCTGCTCCCGTAGAGATTACAGCCTTGGAAGTCCTACTCTGTCCTGTAGGGTTGCTATGAGTCAGAATTGACTCAATGGCAATAGGTTTGGTTAGATGGTTTTCTAGCTGCCTTATACTATTACTTCTGTTATCTTTTCTTCCATATAATCTTCAAAGTCCAGATGACAGGATTAATGAGTGTTATGGATTGAATTGTGTCCCCCAAAAATACGTGTTGTAAATCCTAACCTCTCCACCTGTGGTTATAATCCCAATTGGGAATGGTTGTCTTTGTCATGTTAATAAGGCAGGATTACCATAGGGTGTGTTTTGAGTCAGTCTCTTACAAGAAAGAGAAACGGGGAAGAGACATGCCAAGCCACATGAGGATTGCCCAGTAGCAGAAGCTCAGAAAAGAGAAGGACTTTCTTCCAGAGCCGCAGAGAAAGCCTTTCCCTAAAGCTGGCTCTCTGAATTCAGACTTCTAGCCTCCTAAACTGTGAGAAAATAAATATCTGTTTGTTAAAGCCATCCACTTGTGTTATTTCTGTTATATCAGCACTAGGTAACTAAGACAATGAGGAACTTCAGAGGGCAGATCTTCCAAATGGAGTTATCAGTGAATGTAATTTTGTTCTGATTTTTTTCTCCCTTTCGTAGGATCTTTCTTGCTGTTCTCCATGATGCCACCGAGAGCAGCAAATGATTCATCTGGAGTTTCAAATACAAGTGAGATGGAAATGGAAATAAGAAACATGAGAGAAAAATTTGTTACAAGTGTAACAGTAGAAAGCAAAAGTTACAACAGCAAGGTATTTTCCA